TTTAAGGAGGTTCGGTAGTGATAATTTTTTATGATGAAAATTTTTGAAATTTCGATATGTCGTTTGGGATAATAGTATCAAATTACAGCTAAATTTTTGAAGGGTTTAACCACACCGTTTTCAAGATATATTGACCTGAAAAAACAATATTTTAACATGTAGGCTTATGGAGAAATCACTTAAATTTGACATTAAATAAGAAACGGCTAAATGAACTTGGTTTTTTTTTTTAATGAAAGAATATTGTCAAAATAATATTTTGTCAAAGTTTGAGAGAGCCCTACCACAAATTTCTATTAAAAAACAGCAAAAATGTGCTCGCAGCAGACGACTTGGCAACGCTGCTTTTGTAGCGCGCTTTGAAATGTAATGAATAGTAAAAACTCCTTTTGTAATTGAAAATTTAATTATAAAAAATTCAACCGAAGAAATAAGTACACTGTCATCAGTAGACGACGACAACAGCAGTAGACGACAACAACAGTAGACGACGTGCCAGCAGCCGAAAAAATTCACAACGTTGCCAGACGCTCTCCCTCCTCTTGCCTCTCTGAGATTTTCCCCCGCTAACACTACCGAACCTCCTTAATACTCCAGTGTTTTGATTTAGTGAGGAGCCACCTTAAACGCAGCCCATGAAAAAACCAAGAATGACTACTATTGAAGAAGAATTAAATGGAATAGCGAAACTTAATAATAACAAAGTCGATGAAAATGGTGAGGACTACAACTTTAATGAGTAGTTTCATGTTTTAATAATTTTGCATAACAATTTTTATTTAAAAGTATTTTACCTTAACATATTTTACAATTAAAATCAAATTTTTAATATCTAATTGTAAAACTCGAATTTTTGTACCTTCGAGTTCAATAACTCGAAAGCGCATCAAGATACAGTTTGGTATTATTTTTCCTAAAATCCTTACAAGTTTGTTATGGAAAACCTCACTTACTTTTCGTCGCCACATGAATCGTAGGACCTTCGATTACTCAAGCCACTTAAAGACGTATGTATAGGCTCAAATAGTTTTTTTTCCTGTCATCACTGTGACTTATGTTAATTTGTGTGAGTAATTTTTATGAAATTGCAATCATTTTTTAAAAATTATGCAACACTTTTAAGTACATAAGCACATAGTACATGTTATTGAAATTGCAATCAGCCAACATACACCTTACCATGTTTTCAAGAATCAAATATTATTTAATTGCGTACATCTCGTACTTCTTCTGACTAAAACAGTGACGGCAGTAAACCATAAGCAAAAAAATGGCTAATTTAGCAATGTTGCAATGCTCTGTATTAAAATGTTCACAGTCACCTCAGTTCTCAGAACATTATGAAGCAGTACATCAGATACGAGTTTTTCCTTAGATCAACGTAAATGTTTCACAATTGATAATTTTTGTAAGTTATATGTGCTTTTTCCTAGCTCTTTTAAAAAGTAGTTTTTCCAACAATGCAGAAATTTACATGATAACGTGCTGACTCCGTAAACTCCGCGAGCAAATTCCATAATATGCTATAAAAAAATGATAACTGCAAAATCGTAAGCAGGTGTGACAGCTACTTTGCAAAAAAACGTCGGACGTCTCAGTTTTTTGCGTAAAATAAAAATGAAATGAGCTAGTCAGGGAGCAAAAATGATTATTGAATCGGAGAACTTTCATTCATAGAGGTATCATCACTGAGTGTCGCAACTCTATAGACCAAGAGCTAAGGCAAAAGGGTGGTCAAAATTTTGACCAGCGGCCACTCTCACCAGAATTGAGGAACCTTACAGACCAAGAACCAAGGCCGAAACAAGGACTAATTTGAACCAGCCGCCACTCTCACTAGAATTGAGGATCCTTATGATTCGTAGAGATCCAAAATATTTCGATCACATTTCATAGTAATAAACAGTTATGTGGTAATTATAGTAGTGCCATGTGATCTTTTTTATTAACCAGCCGCAACTTACACCAATGGTTAGTGGATATAACATTGTGCTATTTGCGGCGAAATTAGAATGCACCTTGTTCCCCAAAATTGACCTTCATAAATAAAGACTCCCTACACTATCTTATCTATGACACTCATCTAAGATAATAGATAATTCGTTATAGATAAGATTATAGATAATATCATAGCCATATAAAACATGTAAACTGCTCGTTCTTACGTACAGCGCTAAAGCACGCTTAGGAAGAGACACAACATCAAACCTAGGTATCTGTCTCTCTTGCACGTTGCCAAAGGTGGGGGTCAGTAAACTAAGGCCAGCTGCTGCAACCTCCCCTCCGTTAGCAACTTAAGAGTAAGGGAGAGACATATGTACACGTTCGATATTGTGTCTCTTTCTACGTGTGCTTTAGCGCCGTACAATCCGTACTTAAGAACAAGCAGTCTATTTTTTATATGTCTATGGATAAGAATACAATATATCTATATTTGTGCTCCCACAGAGGTATAAGAATAGAGGAGAAAAGGGGACGTGACATGCGACAGCAGAATTCGCTACGTAACGGGGCATCTGTCCAGCATTAGGTTAGGCGGATTCAATATCGAAACTTTTTCCCTAGATCGTAGAGTTATATATACGATCTAGGGAAAAAGTTCCGATATTAAATCCGCTCGAGCAGACAGCACAGCAGTGAAGGGGCATTGCCAAAGACACGCGGGAATTGAAAATTGTAATATCAATAACACAAGTGACTATCATCCAATGACCCGGGGTGCTAACTGGCCAATCTATTAAATAATAAAATATTAATTACTAACACAAACACCTATCACCTAGTGACCCAGGGCGCTAACTAACCTCTCTATTAAATAATAAAGTATTAATTATTAACACAAATGCCTATCACCCGATGACCCAGGGCGCTTACTGGCCTCTCTATTAAATAATAAAATATTAATTATAAACACAAACGCCTATCACCCAATGACCCTAGGCGCTAACTGGCCTCTCTATTAAATAATAAAGTATTAATTATTAACACTAGCGCCAATCACCCAATGACCTGTGGTGCTTACTTGCAACTGTAAAAATTAATAGAAAATTGATTAATAACCCAAGGGCCTAAACCAAGTGACCCAGGGCGCTTACTGATCGCTTTATTAAACTACATATATTATTAATTTATAGCACAAGCGCCTGTCACCCGATGATTCAGGGCGCTAACTGGCCTCTCTCTTAAATAATAAAATATTAATTAACAGCAAAAGCACCTATCGCCTGATGATCATTGTGCTATTAATTGATAATATCTATCGATTATTAAAGCGACCAGTAAGCGCCCCAGGTCATCGGCTGATAGGCGCTTTCGCTATTAATTAATAATATAAATCGTTTAATAAAGTGACCAGTAAGCACCCTAGGTCATTGGGTGATAGGCGTTTGTGTTAATAATTAATATTTTACTATTTAATTGAGTGGCCAGTTAGCGCCCCGAGTCATTAGGTGATAGGCACTTGTGTTATTCATATTACAATTTGTAATTTCCGTGTGTCTTTGGCAATGCCCCTTTACTGCTTTGCTGTCTGCTCGACGAAATATATCGTAGATCGTATAGCTATATATACGGTCTAGGGAAAAAGTTCCGATATTGAATCCGCCTAACCCAACGCTGCAAAGACAGATGCAGCGTTAGGTTAGGCGGATTCATTATCGGAACTTTTTCCCTAGACCGTATCTTTAGCTATACGATCTGATGAGAATGTTCCGTTGAGCAAACAGCACAGCAGTGAAGGGGCACTGCCAAAGACGCGCGACAATTAAAAATTGTAATAATAATAACACAAATCTCTATTACCCAATGACCCGGGGCGCTAACTGGCCTCTCTATTGAATAAAAAAGTATTGATTATTAACACAAGCGCCTATCATCCGATAACCTAGGGCGCTTACTGGCCTCTCTATTAAATAATAAAATAATTNTAATAATTAATATTTTATTATTTAATTAAGAGGCCAGTAAGCGCCCTGGGTCATCGGGTGATAGGCGCTGGTGTTAATAATCAATACTTTATTAATTAATAGAGAGGCCAGTTAGCGCCTAGGGTCATTGGGTGATAGGCGTTTGTGTTAATAATTAATTCTTTATTATTTAATAGAGAGGCCAGTTAGCGCCTAGGGTCATTGGGTGATAGGCGTTTGTGTTCATAATTAATTTTTCATTATTTAATAGAGAGGCCATTAAGCGCCCTGGGTTATCGGGTGATAGGCGCTTGTGTTCATAATTAATACTTTATTATTTAATAGAGAGGCCAGTTAGCGCCCCGGATTATTGGGTGATAGGCACTTGTGTTATTAATATTACAATTTTTAATTTCCGCGTGACTTTGGCAATGCCCCTTTACTGCTGTGCTGTCTGCTCGACGAAACACTCTCACTAGATCGTATAGCTATATATACGATCTAGGGAAAAAGTTTCGAAACTGAATCCGCCTAACCCAACGCTGTGTCTTTGTCTGGCAATTGTGTTATTGGTCGAGTCCTACATGACATTGAATTAACTGTAGGATTCAGGACGAAAAAGTAACTAATAAAGTGGCTTAGGCAACAAGGACAGATGCCCTGTTACACTTAATTGTGCTGTCGCTGCCGCTAATGGGCTGGTATAGCCATAGAGATATAAGGATAGAGTGCACTAGAGGCTGAATACAGCGATACGGTAAAAGAAGGAGATGGTTGCCGAGTGTCCTCTCTGTATCTTTCTACCCGAGTGCTGTGATTGGCTGATGCTCAAGAGGCAATAATCTATGTCAGTAACTGCCGCTAACGGCCAGAATACCCCCTTGAGCAGCAGCCAATCACAGCGTTCAGCTAAAAAAAATGGAGAGGAGACTCGGCGACCATCTCTTTCTTTTACCGTATTGCTCCCCCTTACGTACATTAGTATAATTAGCGAACTCTATCCTTATATCTCTATAAGTATAGCGCTTTTTCTCTCTATTTTTATACCTCTATGCATACTCCAGACAAAGGACATCGACATTGCATGCATCACAGAAGCACACCTAGACAACACAAAAACCCTTTACATACCAAATTACACGGTACACAGACGTGACAGACGCGAAAAATCCCATGGCGAAGTGGATATCCTTGTACGCAAGGGCATCTGTCATCGAGTCATAAGTACGGACACTGCCAACTGCGAAGCAGTCGGCATCGAAGTGCACACCACCTCATCTGCGTTCATCATAATCATCTCCCTCTAGTCTCCTCCAACGGAAGATCAAAACCTCCAATGCATAATCCCGCTGTTTGACTCCAACATCCCTACGATACTTGCTGGAGATTTTAAATACCAAGCACAAATCGTGGGGATGCAAACACGAAAATCTTGAGGGTCGTTCCCTCCTCAAACACTTTCGCAACCTCAACATCAACATTGAGGTTCCGAGTGAACCGACTCACTGTCCGAGCTCACCAAACCAAGACCCGGCCATCTTAGACATATTTTTGACGAAAAACTTGACCATCCCCAGACCTCCCTTGCAACCATAACCCAGTCTCCCTAGAAATCGCTAGATCCCTTCTCACCATACCCGTTACCACCAGCTGCTTAGACTGGGTCCACCTTGCGTATAACCTCAAATCCGTCCTATTCAAATATCGTCCCACCTGAAAAAGAAAGACAGAATTCCATGTGTGATTACTTCTGTAATACCTTCAGGAAAACCATGTGGCATTACATATGGTTTTACGTATGGCATTACATAAGGTTTTAGCTTGGTGATGCCATATGTAATTCCATTTGAAAAAATACATAGAATTACAAATTGGAAGAAGAAAAAAAATTTTGTCATCTAGAAATAACTGCAGAATACTGTAATGCGTTATTTACTGTAAACAATTAATAATACCATCAGGATAATAACTCCAAAACAAAGGGATTTAAGTAATATTTCAGAAATAAAAAAAAAAAAATTAACAAAATTTTTTTCTATAGAAGTAAAATCAGCTGAACCCCCTTGTTTTGGAGTTATCCTGATGGTAAGACAAATTGTTAACCGCAAATAACTTATCATGGTATTTTGCAGTTATTTCTAGATAATAGAAATTTTTTCTTTTTCCAATTAGTAATTCCATGTGTTTTTCCATATGGAATTACATATGGCATCACCAAACTAAAACCCTTTATGTAATGCCCAATGTAAAACCATGTGTAATGCCATATGGCTTTCCTGGAGTATTACAGAAGTAATTCTACATAGAATTCCGACATTTTTTTTCAGGTGGGGTCCCATCAGGTCCCAAACGGAAATCAGAGGCATTATCCGCTCCCTAAAAACTCGGAAAGCCTCTGGCAGTGACGATATCTCCAATAGCGTCCTGAAAATCCTCCCTCAAAAATTTATAACGGCGATTTTGCAACATCACCAACACCGTGATGCGCCTTCGTTATTTTCCAATTGCGTGGAAGGTGGCTGCGGTCATCTGCCTCCCAAAGCCGGGAAAACCCCTCAGCTACCCCGCAAGCCACAGACCCGTTAGCCTACACTCATCGCTGAGTAAAATCACTGAAAGCGTCATTCTTACCTGCCTAAACAAGCACGCCACGGAAAATAACATCCTTCTAAACGTGCAATACTGTTTTAGAGCCAGACGTTCGGCCGTACAACAGCTTCTGAGGGTCAACGAAGACCTTTCCGATAGCCTCATCCACAAAAACTT